AAAAGGACCTTCTTACAAACACTTTATTTTATGTTATAAAAATTTTTCTTGAAATATATATAAATTTCCATTGAAATGAATAATGTATAACTTATCATTCATTTTTCAATTTCATTTTTAATTTTAATTGAAACGATAGATTTATTAAAATGGACATTTACATAGTAAACGTTAACATCGTCTGCAAATTTCTGCGGAATAAAAATCATGAAGTATCGCAAGAAAGAATAAAAATGCAGGACGTAGAATTCGCGGAGGGGTTATCGAATCGCGTTCGATTTCGTTTTCGAAGTAAATCGAGTAACTGTTCGTAACACGAGAGAGGGGTGGGTTTTTGAAGCTTTCCAGCGTTGAAAATCGCCGCGGGTATAAGCGAATTCGTTCAAGTGCTCGCAAAGCTAACGGGCCACCGAGGTCTTTTTCAATTTAGATTTCGCCGACATCGCCTCTATTCGTTCGCAAAGGCGCGAAAAGATAGACGCGACAAGCAAAATGGAATACCCTTTGCGACGTATTAAACGAATTTAAAGGATCCCCGAGGCGATTCTACGGCCGTGCGCCGAGCGAGAAATTAAATTTCGCTTCCGGTGAACGTGGGACAGATTTGAACGGTAAAATTAAAATTTCTCGCATGGAATAATATCTTCGATTTCTGTCCTTGGTCATGCTTTTTAATACTTCGTTGCTCTCTAACTGCGTTTTTACAATGTTGCCATTTTCAAAATACCATTCGATTTTTAAATGATAATTTTACTACATGTGTTAATGTTTAAATTGATATGTGAAGTTGGAGGAAGGGAGAAAATACAGGGTGATTAGAGGTGGACACTTTAATATTTTCTTCAGTTAATTTATTTTTTAATATATTTTCTTCAGTTACAATATATTTTTGAATATGTACTATATAATATATGTTTTTAATACGTATGATACATACAGATATACATATGTGTACGTACATTATATTCAAAAATGTATGATACATTCAAGCTATACATTATACATTTATGTTTCTATACACTTTTGAATAAATTGTATACGTATAATGTATAATATATTTTTAATATAGTGATTGAACATAATGTGTAATTTTTATTTTATTAGAATTGAAGGCAGTGTTTATGTGGGTAACCATTAAATGAATCACCCTGTATATGATTCTTCTATTTATTTTTCAAACAAGCTTTATAACGTTGTGTATGAAATATAATCTTGAGTATAATGTACATCTCTGAGTATATTATATAATATATTTTTATATCATTACAACTGGACTAGATATTTATGTGAGTACCACTAAATGAATCACCCTGTATATCATTTTTCTATTTATTTTTCAAATAAGCTTTATAACGTTGTGTACGAAATATAATTTTGAGTATAATGTACATGGCTGAGTATATTATACATTATAATTGTATATTATTGCAACTGAATTAGATATTTATGTGGGTACCACTAAATGAATCACCCTGTATATCATTTTTCTATTTATTTTTGAAAGAAGCTTTATAACGTTGTGTACGAAATATAATTTTGAGTATAATGTACATGGCTGAGTATATTATACATTATAATTGTATATTATTGCAACTGAATTAGATATTTATGTAACTACCATTAAATGAATCACCCTGTATATTTTTTTAACAACTTCACGTGTTTTTCCCTGCAACTTCACGTATAACATAACTTCATAAATATCGCACACAACTTTTCAGAACTTAATTAGCCAACAATAATCTGCTAACAATGTAATTATCCTCCGATAAGATACTAATTGTTCAAAACAATTACCACGATAAAAATGCACATAAGACCATAACATGCCTGTCGAGTTTTTATATAATTTCGATACGTTTCACCATGACACAAAAACGACGAACACGAAATCACCGCGATATACGATACTATAATAATATAATTGAAAGTATCGCGTATTCCAAGGCAATTGCTTCCATCAGTTATAAGCTCGGGCAATGTAAAAGTTATCGCGATACTTTTACAGGGTTTTCGCCTTCAAAGAAACATGCCTTTTAATGTGAAATATTAAAACACTTACTGACACGCAGATCATATTTCGTCTATAAATAAGCAAACTATAGACATCTTGTAGACATCTGTTTAACAAGATTCTTTCCTTAGAACTCGTCAAAATGGCGGACCTTTCACTCATTTCATATTGTAACACTTATGTGAGAAACTTTTTATGTAAACGTACATTGATCTTTGTTGAGATGAAGGTTCATCATGGCTGATTTTTCAGAAGATAAACAGCTTATGTTTCGTTAGTTTCTACTTTTCAGTCAATATTTTATTTACTATCTATAAATAATTATTCTACGTATTTTCACGATTTCCTGAAAGTCAAGTTCTTCTTGAAAGTTTCATTTGCATAAAAATTATTTTATTCATTCTTCGAATTTAATACACTTCTTCATCTTTACTAACCTTACTAAAATTACTTGACTAATTTTTGTACAATCTTTAAACAATTTTTAATTTAATTTTTGATAGAATCACAGATATTTTCATTGTTGGTTTACGTGAGTGATTTTCATGAGCCGTTAAATCGTGATCGAACAAGGTTGACGAATTCAGAAAGGTGAAGAACACCGATTTGCACAGAACACGTTTGTTTTTATTATCACCGCTTACTTTGTCGAGACTGTAATTGCGAGCCGACGATAAATTTGACGCACCGTTTCCTTTTACGACAGGGTTGCGCGATATCATTAAGCGGATAGTCGTTTTTGCTTCCGAAAGAGAGACGCATTTAATTTTAACGATCAACGGAGCTACGAACACGAGACAGCCTTTGCCTCTGATACTTTTCGACAAAAGAAGCGTGATTACAGCGAGTGTCCTGCGATTAGTGGTACAGAAGCGTGGTATGTTTCTCTAAAGAAAATGGAGATCGTCACTTGCCACGGGACTTTAAAGATAGACTAGTTGACAGGTGTTTTCCTAATCGAGAAATTTTCCAGATTTCAGTTTCCTAAATTTCCAAATTCTCGAATTCGAAATTTTCAGAATCTCAATGCGTCAAATTCCTTGTTTTCAAATTTCCAGATTTACGAATTTCCAAACTGTCAAATTTCAGATCTTCTAAAGTCTAAGTTTGTTAATTTTCAAATTGTCAAATTATCAAAGTTAAAATCTAAAATCTAGATTCTTAAATTACCAAATTATCAAGCTTCCAAGTCCATAAGTATTTTATTAGTATTTACAGAATTCACAATTATAAATATAATAATTTTAAACACCATCCTTATGAACAATAATTAATAAAAATATTAAATTGCCACTAAAACACATATTCAAAGCAAAAGAATGAGCATCGAAAGAAAAGGTATTTGCTCGGGTCAGGTTGTCGATGTCCCGTTTCGTGCACCCTATCGTTGACCCACACTTTCCTCGCGATACCGTTCATCACGTGCCGCAAGAAAATATAAACTAGCCTGAAATACAGCGGGTATCGAAGCGAATTAAACCGAGCTGAAATCCAATTACGAAGAAACGACTGCACACGGAATGCAGAATCACACGTGCGAAATCGTGGCAAGATTCTAATCGATTCTCGAATACCGCGCTTTTTGCGAGAATCCTGCTGGAACCCGCAGCCATGGATCCAAACTTCCTAATTGCTAGCCAAATATTTTCCGAAGTTTCCCGGTTCTGCTTCGATACTGCTGAATCGATGCTGATAACAATCTGAGAGGTGGAAATAATCGAAAATTTTCGAAATATTTAAATGTTTGCTTCTCGGCAAAAAGAGTATAAAGTGGTGGTTTAATAAAAGGTAATGGAGCTAATGAAAAATAACGAAGTGCAGAAAAATGAATGTAAATTATCAAATTTGTTTGAGGTTTTCAAATATTCATTTTATTAATTTGTTCAAAATAAAAATTCTTCAGTAAAAACTGTATAAAATATCAACTTAACCAAAGAATAACGAAACTAATGAAAAATAACGATGTTCAGAAAAATGAACTTAAATTATCAAATTTGTCTAAGGTTTTTAATAATTCATTGTACTAATTGATCAAGAATAAAAATTTTATTTAAATTTTGAGTAAAAACTATATAAAATATCAACCTAACCAAAAAACAATGAAACTACTGAAAAATGGCGAAGTTTAAAAAAATGAATCTGAATTATCAAATGTGTCTAAGGTTTTCAAATATTTATTGTATTAATTGATCAAGAATAAATATTTTTCAATAAAAACTATATAAAATATCAACCTAACCAAAAAATAACGAAACTACTGAAAAATAACGAAGTCTAGAAAAATTAATCTAAATAAAAAAAAACAGTATAAAATAATCTAACTTTAAAGCAACGAAGCTAACAAAAAGTGACGAAGTCCTAAAAAACTAACCCAAATTATCAAATATTTCTAAGATTCCCAAAAGTTCATTCTACTTAATTTTTCCACGCTAAAAATTTGTCAGCAAAAACAGTATAAAATAACAATCTAACAAAAAAATAACGAAATTACTAGAAAATGAGGAAATTCAAAAAAATTATCCTAAATTATCAAATATTTCTAAGATTTCCAAATATTGATTCCACTCCTTTTTCCGTGCCAAAAATTTGTCAGTAAAAGCAGTATAAAATATTAATCCTCCCAAAAAATAACGAAATTACTAAAAAATGACGAAATCTAAAGAACCTAACCTAAATTATCAAATATTTCTAAGATTCCCAAATGTTGATTCCACTGATTTTTCCGCGCCAAAAATTTGTCAGCAAAATATCAACCCACCCCAAAAATAACGAAACCAAAAAATGACGAAACAAGATAAAAATTCAGTAGTATTCACAAACCAGCAACAAATTACGCTAAAATAAAAACGGTAGACGTAACTAAAAAAGTAAAAGAAGGAATAGAAGGAATTTCGCGTCAGCGGATGGTACTAGACCTAACCTCGCTTTCCTAAGTTATAGCAGCGAGCTGTCACGTTTAACGAGGAAATATTCATTTTTATTTCAGGATATTTCCCTCTGCCGTCAGTCTACTGTCTCGTCTGGATCTGTCTGGACGTGTTATTCTGCACAGCGAGTATAATGCATCTGTGCACCATAAGCGTGGACCGATATCTGAGTCTGCGATACCCCATGAAATTCGGTCGCAACAAAACCAGACGGCGAGTCACTTTGAAGATCATCTTCGTGTGGATCCTCAGCATTGCCATGAGCTTACCGCTCAGCTTGATGTACTCGAAGGTGAGACATTTTTACACGAGACGTATCGTTGTATAGGGCGGTGCGGTATAAAAATGATATCAGATGGTGTACGCTTTAAATCCTTCGTTTCGACTTCGGGTATATGGTGCAGTGTCACGTTTTCGGGATATCTCGACAGGATAGGAGATATTGCGATGGATGTGGAAATTTGGAAGTTTGGGGGTGCGGAGTTTTTGCACTTGTAAATTAAGTTTTGCATATTTGGGATCTGGGGTTTTTAGGCAGTTTGGGGGATGGAGAATTTGGGAGTATAGCAATTTTGGGATATAGGAATTTAGGGATCTAGGGATTTTGGAGTCTAGGAATTCGGAAGTTCAGGAATTGTCGGGACATGGGAATTTCGGGATCTAGGGATTTTGAAGTCTAGGAATTCGGAACTTTAGGAATTTTCGGGATATGGGTATTTGGGGATCTAGGGATTTTGAAGTCTAGGAATTCGGAAATTTAGGAATTTGGGGACATAGGAATTTTGGGATGTAGGGATTTTGGAGTCTAGGAATTCGGAAGTTTAGGAATTTGGGGACATAGGAATTTGGGGATGTAGGAATTCTGGAGTCTAGGAATTCGGAAGTTTAGGAATTTGGGGATGTAGGGATTTGAGAGCTTAGGAATTTGAAAATCTAGAGATTTAGAAGTCAAGGAATTTGGGGATCTAGGAATTCTGGAATCTAGGAATTCGGAAGTTTAGGAATTTTCGGGACATGGGAATTTGGGGATCAAGAATTCGGAAGTTTAGGAATTTGGGGATCTAGGGATTTTGGGATGTAGGGATTTTGGAGTCTAGGAATTCGGAAGTTTAGGAATTTGGGGATCTAGGGATTTTGGAGTCTAAGAATTCGGAAGTTTAGGAATTTGGGGATCTAGGGATTTTGGGATGTAGGGATTTTGGAGTCTAGGAATTCGGAAGTTTAGGAATTTGGGGATGTAGGGATTTGAGAGCTTAGGAATTTGGAAATCTAGGGATTTAGAAGTCAAGGAATTTGGGGATCTAGGAATTCCGGAGTCTAGGAATTCGGAAGTTTAGGAATTTGGGGATGTAGGGATTTGAGAGCTTAGGAATTTGAAAATCTAGGGATTTAGAAGTCTAGGAATTTGGGGATCTAGGAATTTGGGTGATGTAGAAATTTGGGGACCACGGAATTTGGGGGATATAGTAATTTAAGAGTATAGCAATTTTGGAATATAGGAACCTGGGTGATATAAAAATTTGGGTATATAGTAATTTTGGAATATAGCAATTTTGGAATATAGGTACTTGAGTAATATAGAAATTTGGGAACATAGCAATTTTGAAATATAGTAATTTTGGGATATAGCAATATTGAGATATAGGAACTTGGGTGATATAGAATTTGGGAATATAGTAACTTTCGAATCTAGATAATTTTGAATATAGTAATTCGGTATTATTGGTTTTGGTAATTTGATTGATTTGACAGAAATGTGAGAACACAGTATAAATTTGACTTCATTTCGATCAAAAACTAATAAGCCATTTTATCCTCAAGAATGTCGTCTTCAAGAATTAGGTTATGTTCGTCGACTCAGCAAATATTGCTTTGAGCATTTTTCGTTCGCATTGATGAACTATTAATACTATTGACATTATCTTAATAAATAATTCATAACTATTCTCATATTTTAATCATCGACTTTACGTACTTTTATATTTAATAGTTTACCTAATAATCAGGTGAAAATTCAACATACAACGCAACAGTTGATACAAATTTTCATGCACAAAATTTGGAATGATTTCTATTATTATAATTAAATACAGAATTTGTTATATATACAAGAATCACCTCATAAATAACAAGTAATTGAATTCTTCTTGTTTCAATTAAAGAAAATTCGGGATTAAGTATTTCCGAAAGTTACACAATCCCCGCGTTATCACTCATCCTAAAACGTCTTATCTCTGAGATTTAATTTTCCGGTTCATCAATCTTAAGCTCTTTTAAGGGATTGCCGTTATCTCTATAGGAAACTCTTCGTTCTAAAGGTGGTTTAATGATGAGATAACAATTCTCTACGTTTAATGAACGCGAATCTAGTGTTTGAATTTCGGCCTTTTAATTATATGGAAATAATTTTTGAAACATTTCTATCAAGTCATAATCTCAGTTACACAGATCTTTGTTAATAGTTTTTTAGACTGAAAACACAATTTGCAAAATTATATACATATTCATTTTTTTCAGAAGTTAAAGTTACTCAAGATTGTAAAGACTGATGTAGAAACGAGTCTATTTATATACATTAACTTGCTAAAAAGAAATATTTGGGAATGATCGATTAGAGGGTGTTGGTCACCCTCAATCAAATATTTTAACCAATTAACACGTCAACGTGTGACGAAGACCTATGACTGACGTCACGTGATCTAATCAGGAGTATATCATTTTTAATTATAAATAAGACCAGGAATACATAATTATTATACATATATAAGACATTTAATAGAAATAATATATCATAAATTATATATACTTTGCTTTATATATAATTTTTAATTAATACATATATGTTACATATGTAATGTAACTTACATATAATTTTTATAATTAAAAATCATACAAAAATTATAAAAATTATGTACAAGTTGTCTTTATAATTGAAAATGATATACAAGACAAAAAATATTATAATTTATTTCTATTAAATGAACAAAAATAATAAATATTGGAAAAGACTTTGATACAAGATACAAGTCTTTGAATTAAATATAAAATATCCAAAGTGTCATGATATAAAACAGTACATATATACATGTATATATTATTGATATTGAGTATATTATTTTTATTTATAATTTTATACCTGTGCAAATATTTTTTTAAATTAATAATTCATTGTATATAGATGTATACATCTATTTATAATTTTTATAGTTTTGAATAAGTGCGTACATAAATTTTTTTCAATTCTCAATTTTTGTACATGAGATGTATTTTTTTTTAATGATCTTAAAACGGCATTAGAAAAGTCCTGTTATACCAGCCATACAAATTTATTTACCGTTCATGCAGCTCGTAAACAAGTGAAATTTCCAGTGACAAGAAAAGTTGCCTTGTTCAGCTCTATTAATTCCAATTCCACGCGTGTACTCATTAAACTCGTTAAAATATGTAAACGCAACCCGCTGGCCAACCTAGCTTCACTAGCTACGAGTTTCCAATTAACTCGGTTCACATTAAAGCACGAGCCGAACAATATGAATCACCGACAATGATGTATAAGCTACAATGCAAAGGAATACATACATATAGGAAGAAAAATAAAATTTGAAATGTAGGGTAAAAAGAAAAGAGACTTTCAGTTTAATCTTTTTGCTCAGATTTATTGTTCAGAGATATTTATTTTGTTGTATGTGTTCGTTGAATAATGGGAAAGAAATATTTGTTATGAATTTAATGTGTGGTATATGTAGTTTGAATTTCATATGTGGTATATGTAATATAGATTCCTTATATGATACATGTACTATAAATCTGATATGTGGCATATGTAGGATAATTTTGATATGTGGTATATGTAGTGCAAATTTGGTACATACACCATATGTGTATGAAGTACCAATTTAATACATGGTACATGTAATTTAAATTTGATATGTGGTATAGATTTATCATATGATACATGCAGTATAAATTTGATATATGGTATACATATGTAGTATAAATTTGATACATGGTATATGCAATACAAATTTGATAGGTGGTGTATGAAGTACAAATTCAATATGTGGTACATGTAGTTTAAATTTGACATGTGGTATATGTAGTATAAATTTACCATATGATACATGCAGTATAAATTTGATATATGATAAACATATGTAGTATAAATGTGATACATGGTACTTCCAATACAAATTTAACATGTGGTGTATGAAGTACAAATTTAACATATGGTATATGTAGTATAAATTTAATACATAGCGTACGAAGCACAAATTTAACATGTGGTGTATGTAGTATAAATTTAATATGTTTGTATGTAAACATTGAAGATCCACATACGTCAAGTGTGGTATAATAAATTTATAGAAGCTCTGCATTTTCAAGAAGGTTCATAAGTGTTTAATAATATGATGAAGATTTTTTAATTTGGAGATGAAGTTGAAAATTTTTTAATTTGAAGGGTACTTGGAAATTTTTTAATTTGAGAATTTGAAACTTTGAATATTTTTTAATTTTGAGATTTAGTGTTAATTTGAGGGTAGTAGGTTGGGAGCACGTACCACCCCATATCGAACCCCATAAACTATTAATTTATCTCATAAAATTTTAGCTTCACATGCAAATAACTCATAAAATCAACATCTAAAATTCAAGTAAAATCAACTAACAAATAAAAAGTGAAACTGGTCCTAACTTAAGGGCTACCTCCATACTTCTATAATGAACCATTTTAATATTTCCATGAAACAGTATCTCTATAAAATTCCATTAAAATTCCCGTGGCGCCATCCCCATCAACTTAACCACTCTATTTAACGAATTTTCAAGGGAAATTGCGTGATGTCAATAAACGAGGCTTGACGGTGCCGTTAATAGACCTCGTTTTCGCGTCCGTTCGATGGCGGTCTCATCACCATTGACTGACAACGAAGCGCTCTCTTCCATCTCGATCGACCGCCATTCTGCTTTTTTCTCGGCGAACAGCCTGTGTTTTGACTTAACGCGAACTCGGACGACAGATTCGCGGGATAATTTGCCAAATAGTAGATCGATTATGAATCTACAACCGATTTTACCATATGGGTTTATGGCTTCTGAGTTTCTTAAGCAAGGAGTGTTTTATACATCATTTAATTTATCGAATTTTGTACTGAATTTAATCTTATGCTTTATTTATTATATTTCATAATATATTTTCTATTATTCTTCAGTTATTATATCTCATACCATATTTTCTATTATAATTTACTTATTATATTTGTTATTATATTTACTATAAATTTATCATATTTTGTACAGCAAACTCGTGTGCCACGTGGCTAACAAGTTGTCACACGAACTGAACGCGAATCACATTGACATATCAACTTACCAAACTTGCAGTGTCAAAATACAAAAACACGTGCAACATATAAAAAATGTCAACAAACACGATATTCTCAGATCAAATTTCAGACTTGATCTAAGTGACCTATTGACCTACGACCTCAATACAAAGTGCTATGAACTCACCTTAATTGGTACTTCAATTTACATCTTGGTCACCTATAATGAATGTCTCTTGACTTGACTTTCGACCTCTCCTATTACTTCCATATTTCTAGTTTTTATTTCACTGTACACATATTCGAATCACATGTACATACACTTGTCACTTATATTACTTATCTTTATATTTCTAGTTTGAGTATTTTTTTTTATGTAGATTTTAATTTTCTTTCTAGTCGTTCGTACACTAATACCCCTCGTTATGTTGCCATTTTCTGAATTCCATCGATGGCAATATATGGAGAGTCTATTTATACATATATTATTTAATAATTCAGAAACGAAGCTTCAAACTCTACTTTTGCAAAGGGTTCTGCAAAATCTTTCGCAGAAATCTGGTTCAAATGTCAAATGACGTTTATCACTCATTCACAGGAGTTACACTAGCTGTGAGACACCCTGTATGACCCAAAATAGATATCGATGTCAATTCACAAGTAATAGGACTCATAATAAAGGACACACATACGTATGATCGAAGCAAATCATATTTTTATTAAAATTCGAAACAATGGAGTCCCATGACACATATCGAGGGATGATCGAAGCCGGGTTTAACATTACGAAAATTATAAAAAAAGAAAATATGGTAGGACGGCGCACTTTATACAAAAAGGAACGTTTTCCCTTCTTCTTTAATGGAGCTTAATGAAATGTAACTTGCGTCGTAGCCAGATAGAAGTTTGTTCAAAGTACGGATTTAATAGTCCTCGTTGTACTCGAACGCTATTGGAGGATCCGCTTCCTTTTCCTCGTTGGGTTTGGAGCCGAAAGCTGAAACATAATCGAGTGCAACCACAGTTACGACATCGTGCTCAAACAGTAAACATTTTTCCTATTGCAAAATTGATTAGTTTATTGTAAAATCTTTCGAAATTTTTACTTTCTTCAAAAATGTAGCTCAATTTTAAAATTATGTAACCAGTATAGGTTTCATGTAACCTTACTTTTATCTGACCTTTTATTTAGCAAGTTATCTTGCTAGAGAAACAATTATGTATCGTTATTAATAAATATATTTTGAAATTAAGTATTATGTAATTAAATGAATAATCCTATTAGTCCCTAACTGATAATCATAGACAATCAAAATCATACCAAACATCAAGGTTTACTATCCTAAATTATTATCTGCTCAAGTACTGTTATAGATAATAATTATTATATAGATAATTTGTACAAAAGAATGTTAACATTGATATTCGAGAGAGATATTAATACATTAATATTATCTGTGAGATAATTCCATGATTTTTATTTTAGAAATAATAATATATCAGTAGAATATCTAATAGAATAATATATCAATAGTATTTTACATCATAAATTAAAGAAAATCAACAAATATTACGGATAATAAAATATTACAGATGTATAATAAAAACTCACCAGCAACCGGTTCCACGAGTTCTTCTTCAGTGTCCGCTTGTATATGTTTCACCATAACTATACCACCAATCTGTATGTCCTTCACAGGAACATAATGGCTGCCCTCCACTAATTGTATCACCTTCAGCTGTTGTCGCAGAACGCGAGCAGGATTTTGAAGTACTTCGAAATTAGGTTCTGGCTCCTTCTTCTCTTTTTCTGCTTTCTCCGTTTCATCCTTGCCTTTTTTCTCGACCTTCTCCTTTGTTTCTTTTACCTCTTTTGTCTCCTTCTCTTCTTTCTCCTTTTTCTTCTCCTCTTTGTCTTTCGGCACCGCTGCCTTCACCTCCACGGGATCCTTCACTTCTGGTGGATCCTGGAATCAAAAAGCAAACGTTGAAAATTAAAACGATACCTAATTTTCTGTTAAACAAAGGGAAATTTATCTTTCCTCTATCTTATTATTTTTGAAGAAATGTGAGAGGAACAATTCTTACGCTTTTATTCAAGCATTCTCGTTTCTTTTATTAGATTTAGTAACGAGGAGCTTTTTTAGATTAATACAGGTTTAAATTTCTAGGTTATGTAATTGTCACATTTTGAAATACCTAACGTAACCTAACAAGGAGGGAGAGTTTTTAGATTACTACACTTTAAAATTTCTAGGTTATGTAATTACCAAATTTTTAAATTCATTACCTAACCTAACCTAACAAAGAGGGAGGCATTTTCTATACTTAAAAATTTCTAGGTTATGTAATTACCAAATTTTAAAATTCTAATCTAACCTAACCTAACAAAGAGGGAGCTCCTTTTAGATTACTGCACTTTTAAATTACTACAAATTCTTAACCCACCCTCAAATATCCAATATCTTAAAAACTCCTATAAATCAACTACGACTTTCAACCTTCATCACATGATTTATCACGTGGACAATCGACTATGTTAACCGCAGCACACAAGAAGTCCTATGCCTGCAAAAACCTGTATCGTCAATGCTTATAAAAACGTAGATATAAACGTAGATGTATAGGTCGTGTAGTATAAGAACTGTAGCTTGCAGTGACTATAGTAACTCTATAGTCACGTAGTGTCTGCAAACATTTCATCTTCAAGAGACATTCTCATTCATCAAATTGTGTCATTCTCCAATGACTTCTCGGACAATCGTTCATACTAACCACTTCCATCTTTTCTTCGTGGGAATCGCGAGCACGTCTCTCGGACTCGCGTCTCCGCGCCCTAGCAGCGATGCTGAGGACCGCCGTCGTGATTTTCTCCCTTTCCTCCCGTTTCTTCTCCTCCAACGGCGCGGGATAAGCGTAAACGCTGGGTCTCGCGTTCGAACGGAATTCCAGCTTCGGCATTTTCAGTTGAGCGTTCAGAGCTATCAGACACGTAGGGGTGAAGGCCAGAGCCAGGCAATGAGCCAACGGGAACCAGTACCAGTATTGCGTGAATACCAATGCGCCCACCACCGCCAACATGTTGGTGTGACCTGTTCTTGATTGCAGGGACACTGTCACGTTACGACCACCTGAAACAGTTATCATTGTTATGGAAATTATGCTGGATTTAACTGGTTCATTGGTGCACTGTCTTAGGCGAAATGAACGTCAATGTGGATATTGATATTTAACCCCTATTAGTCAGTTCAGTTATGTTATGTTATGTCAATATTAGGTAATTGTTGAGTATGCAAATTATTGGAGTTGACCTCCAAAAAGGTGTATTGAAAGTTTGAGTAAAATTGATCATATGTGAAGTAGTGTCATAATTGTATTTTCTTAAAATAGAGCAAGGGGTTGATCGAATTTTGTGAAATTAAAGGAGCATTTTATGAGACGATTTGTTTTGTCTTTTTGAGGAATTTAGAGGTTATTTAAGATCTTAGAATTTTCTGAGAAACTTGAAGATTGAGTCTATCTCTGTTTGTCATATGTAACATATGTGTGACATATTATTACACATGTAACATGTTATTATATTATATCATATATCATATATATCATGTAATATATTTGATGCAATGTCTATATGTATTTGTCACATATGTAACATATGTGTAACATATTATTATATATCATATATCATATATATCATGTAATATATTTGATGCAATGTTTATATGTATTAGTCACATATGTAACATATGTGTAACATATTATTACACATGTAATATGTTATTATATATCATATAGCATATATATCATGTAATATATTTGATGCAATGTCTATATGTATTAGTCACATATGCAACATATGTGCAACATATGTGTAACATATTATTGCACACATAACACGTTATTACACACATGTTACATATGTTACATACATGACTAATACATATAGACACTGCATCAAATATATTACATGGTACATATGATACGACAAAATTCAATAAATAAGAGTTAAGAACAAATCTTAATAAACAAGAGTTAATAACAAAATTTAATAAATACGACCAAAACGCATAAATAAAACTTAAGAACAAGATTTAATAAGCAAAGAGTTAAATCTTAAAGTAAGAGACCAAAGCGAAGACCAAAGTGAAATATGAAAGGCGACATTATCATGGAAGGTGGTTGCATAACGAGGTCCCCTGAGTTACTCACCAGCGTCGATGATGCCCTGGGCCAAAATGGCGCCAAACTTCGCCATTACGTCTTCGTGCTTGTCTACGACGACCTTGGCGTACAACGCCCTGAAGTCTTTAACTCTGGCGCATGTTGCCTCAGTCTGTTGAATCAAGATCATAGCGGAGGCGATCAAAGCACCCTGACGAACAAAGTTCACCGGGTCGTTTGTCATAGGATCTAACAACGCTATAGCCTCCTTCAATCCTGTGCCACCACACGCGATTCCCAAAGCCATCGCTGCACCGTACCTCACGTGAGGATTGTAACTTTCAGCCAGCAAGGAAACCACGCTGGGACACTGTTCGGGTGTTCTGAAACAAACGAGCGTTTCTAATTAGTGTCATATTAGTAGGGTTAAGAGTGATGAAGAGTTATGGGGTGTGAACGAATTTTGGAGTGTCAAACTTAGGGATTTGCCAAGGTTTAATTTGGTGATTAGGGGGATGGGATCTTGACTGTTGGATAAAGAGGATTTTTGGTTTAGAGATCTATAGATCCTTAGATTTCATGATAAGTAGATTTCTAAATTTTTAGATTACTAAATTTGCAAATTTCTGGAGTCTCGAGTTCTCAATCTCCAAATGCCATAATTTTCAATTTCACAAATTTTTTTCATAGATCTCTAGATTCCAAGATAATTAGTTTCCTAAATTCCTAGGTTTCTAAATTTGCAAATTCCTGGACTCCCAATTTCTCAATCTCCAAATCCAAATCTCCAAATGCCAAAATTTCCAATTTCCCAAATTTCTTCCATAGATCCCTAGATTCCAAGATAATTAGTTTCCTAAATTCCTAGATCCCTAAATTTGCAAATTCCTGGACTCCCAAGTCTCAAGCCTCTCCAAGCCTCAATCTCCAAATGCTAAAATTTTCAATTTCCAAAATTTCTTAGCTTCCTTCCCAAATTTCGGAATACATTCCCTCCCCAACTCTCTAAGTTCCCAATTTCAAAATTTCTATCTCTCAAATTTCCAAATCTTCAAATCTCAAATTTTCTAAATGTCCAACCTCCTCAACAAAAAAATTATCGAATCAAAAATTCCTAAATCAAAAAATTGTCTAAACGAAAAAATACAATTAAAGCCACAAAAGCAACGAATCAAAGATGTTCAAATTTTCTGCAAAAAGCGAGTAGATTTACTACGAAATAGTAAACAAAGGGTATGAATAAGGGCGCTAAGTGCATAATTGTGTTTCGCGTTGTTACAGGAAGAAGATTCGGTGCTGATAGACGGTGCCTGCCAAATACCGGACCCTCTTTACAAGTTGATCGGCAGCATAATCTGCTTTTACATACCACTGGGCGTGATGCTGCTTACATACGCGTTAACGGTGAGATTATTGGCAGAGCAACGACAGAATATTGGAGGAACTGCAGGTTGGTCCTCCGGATGGCTGGGTGGCCCCCAGGGCCCACCCCCGGGAGGTTAGTGTATTATCAGGTACACGGACCTGTTACATTTGCTCCCCAAATCATCCATCATTTCGACGATTTAGTTAGACAACGTTAATTGTGCAAATATAATTTTTAATACCATGGTTTCATTTTCTTAGTGAAAGAGCTCCTTTAAGAAACTCTCCTTTGATACAAAATTAATATACAAAAATAATAATATAAAAAAATAACACTGTCCAACAAATTTAAACTTTTTTTATGTTTTCCAATAC